TAGATTTACATAGGCGTATACTGGGCGAGAAAGAGTGTTTAGGTGGAAGTATAGTTTACCCTTAAGGACGATCTTAATGAGTAAAGTAAATTAGAAAAATAATAATTTACATTTAAATAAACATTTACTTCAGGTGTATATTCGTTTGGGGTGTATCGGCAGCTCTACTGGCTGTTGCTGTCGGGTAAGGGGAGGGCTGGGGTTGGGTCTTGGAACAATATGTTTATTTTTTCTTTTTATTTTTTTAAAATTTATATTTTAATTATCTTTTTATATTATCTTTTTATATTTTTTCTTTTCTCCTCTTTCTTCTGATTCTTTATCTTCCGCTAATGCCGCCTGAGGCCCCACCTAAGGCGTATTCTACACGCCTACCAACTCCACCGTAAATTAAATAAATTTAATTTAAAAATAAAATTAATTTAATTAAAATGAAGTTATTTAATTAATTTCAATGAAAAAATATATTTTTTCTTTATTTATTCTCTCTTTCTCCCTGTCTGCCCATACCTGAGGTCACTCCTCGTCGACTTCTCGATATTATTTGCAAGTGAAAATTTCTTTGTTTTTCTTTTTAATAAGAATAAATAATATGGTTTTAATCTGCATATATTCTTTTTCTTTATATTTTTCTAAATCTAATGAGGGGTTAAACATTATCTTTTACTTTTGTTTTTAATTTTTCCGTTGGTTTTCTTCTTTTTCTACGCTTGCAGCGAAACATTTTCTAAAGAGGCAAACAGACGCCTAATGTACACCCGAGCAAAAGCAGATGCTGCGCTGCAAACAGTCAAGAGCCAAGCCTCCCCACAGGCATCGCTGCCTCTTACCCCCGCGTAATAGATTTCATAAACCCTAAACCCTAAACCCTAAACCCTAAACCCTAAACCCTTCTTAGTCCTTAAACCCTATGCTGAAGCACGCGAAAGCCTCTCCGTCACTGCCCCTCTTTACGGCTTCGCGCATAAGGTTTAGGGTTTAGGGCTTAGTGTGTAGGGCTACTTGGGTATGGCGTTCTAGGGTTTAGGCTTTTTGGGGTTTAGGGTTTAGGGTTTAGGGCTTAGGGTAGGCCTTGAGAAAACTGACAAGCATTTGCTGCACTTTATCCTCAGCGGGCCCCAGTTACTCCGCAGCAATTCTAATCTAGCTGCTGCAGATGCAGAAGCAGCAACAGCAGCAGCACCAGCAGCAGCACCAGCACCAGCTGTACCGTCAGCACCCCCTGCAGCAGCAGAAGTGGTCGCTGCAGCAGCTGCTGCAGCAGTTGCTGCTAGTCTCAGTTGCAGCAGCACTTCTCTCTTACAAAAGACGGAGACGGGGCGGCTGCCTCTGCTGCAGCAACAACTGCAGCAGCCGAAGCAACAGGAAGTGCCGCAACAAACACAGCAACAAGTGCAACAGCAAGTGCAGCAGCAACTGCAGCAGCAGCAGCAGCAGCAGCAGGATTCGGAGCCCGGATGTGCCATCGCTTTTTCTGCTGCTGCAGTTGTTGATTTGCTGCTGCCTCCTTCAGCACCAAAACCCCAGCCGCTGTCCGTTGCAAATCAACTGCAGCAGAAGCTGCTGCTGCAGCCGGATCTGCTGCTGCAGCAAGACACCATAACTCTGCAGCCCGAGCCCCAAGCTGCAGCAACAGCAGCAGCAGCAGTAGCATTACCAGCAGCCGCTGCTGCTGCTGCCGTTCCTGCTGAGACCCCGATACAGCAGCAGCAGCAACAGCAGCAGCAGCAGCAGCAGCAGCAGCAGCAGCAGCAGCAGCAGCAA